CCATAAGATAGACGTGTGAGGTATGTGGCTGTTATATCTGTAATTTTGAAGAAAACCTTATTATCGTTTAATCATATAAATAACATATGAGAAATATCATATAATTAAGGGCCATTTCCATAGCTTAGCTATGCAGTATGTATTCTCTTCATCGCTGAAGGCCATGCAATGACCTATAGTTGCTAACTTCTATGTCATATTGGTCTCTGGTGGAGAGTTGTGTCATTGGCAATAATTCCACATCTTCTTATTTTATATATTGATTGCAGGGTTCGTTGCTCGTTCTGTGTCTATACAAAATGTACGACCGAAGGGAATATTTTTCGTTCCCTTTTGTTATTATTTTTTTCTTTTTTGGATGGCGATGTGCCTTTGGTCCCATCTTACAGTGTTTATATATCCCAACTCGTTCGCTATATCCATTTCTTTAGTGACGTTTGCGATTTCAATGAACGCAATCTATGTTTAACTGGTAAAATATTCAGTTTAAGATTTCGTTACCATAAGTTACTTAAAACTTTTACTAAATTCTTTCATAGGTACAAACATTTGGTTTGGAAGATAGGCTGTACCGTTAGACGACGACTTAATACAAACGGGATCATATCAAATCCTAAATTTTACGGTGATGTTGTTTTTGTGCCCTCAAATTTAGATACGATCCGTGTAAACTTGTCGATCCTTTAAATAATCTTATTCTAAAAGGTTACCAATTCATCACTGTAAACACTAGTAACCCGAATTTAGCTTGAACGGACAAAAACGTATTAACGCTATTTGAATGAGATTAATCGTCATTTGATAAAGATTGACAAAAATTAAAAATTATTTTTAATTCATTTCAATCCATATCAAATTATTTTAATGCCAGTCAAATAGATTCGCTTGCAGTCATTCAATTTAATTTCAGATGGTGGTAAGTTGCGTCAAACTAATAGGCCACGCCCCCGTTAAACTATTTCAAACTGGCATCAATTCGTTTTAAACATCGTTGAGTCGTTTAACTGTCTGTGTCGATTTATAGGTAAAATAAACAACAAGCCATATTCAGCTACTGTCAATCTAGTTCAATCGCATCGATCTTTAAAGCATACGAACGAAACGGTTCATATGTGTTGTGAAATAATTAAATATATTAGATCAAATTGATTGTAAGAAATATTTGCCGACTCATGACTTCTTCAGGCTGCTGAAAAAAGAATTTTAATTGAAAGTTTTATCATAAGCCAGGCTTTTTTTAACAATATTAAATCTCGGCGTTTAAATGGTAATTGAATTCAAGATCTGGGAAGTGCGAACATCTATTCCTTGTAAATTTTACGTGCGTAGTTTGAGAACGAGATCTACATTTTAGTTCAACACCAAGTTTGACGATCGAAAATAATTTCGTTTATGTGTGCAACTTTTAAAAATTCATATCTGCATGATGTCATTCCCCAAAATGGCAAAAACAAGTTTTAGAAAAGACACTTTGAGTTTCTATTAAAATTAATCATTATTTTAATCTTTTCCAAAAATGATTAGCCATTGGGGCGAAACTAGGGATATCTCTATAATAAAATAAAAACCGTTATTGTGTGTTATCGCGATAATTCAATTGTCATGTGAAATCAAACAATCGATTATTTTTTAATAATAGTTTGATAAATGATTTTAAAAAATACGATTAACATTTTGTATAAAAAGAAATCCCGTGTGTGGTCCCCTCGTGTTGGGGATACAGTGATGACGTGGTATAGAATCAAGCGCCATATTTGATATTTTCATCTTCAGCATCCGTTCGTACACAAATTAAATTCACAGATTTATTTGACCATCGATATTAATTGGATATATCAGTAATCTTAAAAGGCACAGAGAAGCTTATGACTTTCTAAAGGTAAGATTAATGAAGTTTATGAAAGCATTAAATTGCATGAATCGTCATGTTTTTGTACTGCCTACAGCAGCGATCCTGTCCGTTCGCCCTACATTGAAAAAAAATATATATTAATTATTAATATTCAGGGCATTGAAGCAGAATAAACTTATTCAGATCTTTATATGGTATATATTCTTCAAATTAATAAAAGACTTTGTAACATTTTAAAGTTGAAGGCTTGTACAAATTGTAAATCGTGAAAAATATATGCAATAAAATTGAGAATGGAAATGGGGAATGTGTCAAAGAGACAAAAACCCGACCATAGAACTGACAACAGCAGAAGGTCACCAATACATGTAGGTCTTCAATGCAGCGAGAAATTCCGGCACCTGGAGGCGTCCTTCAGCTGGCCCCTAAACAAATATATATACTAGTTCAGTGATAATACACCTTATCGCTATTTGTCCGCCATTACTGGCCATCACACAGGTTCCCGTAAAATTTTGATGTCACAATACAAAATATCTGACGCCACAATGCTACTGTCTTTATGTATACTTAACTATAGAAAGATATAACCAGTGGCGGATCCAGAAATTTTCATAAGTGGGGACCCACTGACTGCCTAAGAGGGGGCCCGCTCCGGTCATGCTTCAGTGATTCTCTATAACAGTTCATAGTTTGCCAATCATGCATATCACACCTATGTTATTACAGAACAAATATGCCTGTAATAACTAAAGGGTGTTATTATAGCTTCTCTACATCACTTCAAAGCATTTGCTCAGACATAGATCATGCTCAATTACAATGTATTTTAATTTATTGTAAGAAGTAATGATCAGAGCATGTAATGAGGTTCTGCGCAAGCTTCCCAGTAATTCCCAAGTGTCTCATTTAATAAGTTACATGCCTTTAATAACTAAGCCTTGTTATTACAGCTAAGTTAATCACTTAAAAGCCTTGTCTCATTGATTTACCATGGTTAATGAATAATGTATTAATCTAAATTAATAGTTAGTTATCAAGGCTATGCATTTAGATTCTGGCAAAGTTTCAAGAGTTCCCTATACTAGAGCCCACTAAAAATAAAAATATTTATGATTTATTTTACAAATAACAAACATATGTTATTACAGATTTGGTAAATTTAAGGATTAAAGAGTAGACAACTCATAAAAGTATCTGTAATAACACATGCAAATTATTTTCTGTAATAACCCTATAGAGTTCACTACAAACTGCTCAGAGTCTGAAAAGACCAGTTTTTGTGCTCGACCAGTAAAGTCGAGCACACATTTTACTCGACTAGTCTCGACATTGTCTCGACAGTACTTAACTGTACTTAATTGTACTCGACTAGGTCTCGACTTTACTTAATTAGTCTGATTCAGTATATATAAATAGATTTTTGAATATTGTTTTATCGGTACAAATATCTATTTTGTTATCAATAAATTAAAACATAACTAAATATTATTGTTTATTGCTATGAATATACAGGGTCCTACATTCTACCTACCGATATTTTAGCATTGCGCAAGATAACGTCATAATACTAAATGCATTGGATGTGTATCGATTTATATTTTAGAATAAGGTTATTTAAATGATCGACCAGAATTCTATTGAGTGATCCTAAGTAATTTTCTTGTAAGCTTCCATAAAAATTACAGACTGTCGTGAGATTTGTTTATGACCATTCAAAGCATCGCAAGGAAAATTTATATTAAATATATCATATTATGTGTCAAACTAAATATTAACCATCTGGGTGTGGTCTTTACTTTTGTCCTTTTTGCTCTTCATCGTTTGTATTTTGGCCTCAAGCATCACTGAAGAGAAATTAATTGTCAAAATGCGCATCTGGTGCATTGAAATTGGTACCGTTCATGTAGTTGCTACTCCTGCATTTGGACTTTTAGCACCCAAGGGTAAATCGAGCCCTCTAGTCAATGATTTGACATTTTATCATTTAGTATTGCACTCATTAAAGTGCACTTGAACGACCAACATCATTGCTCTTCTCATTACCTAGGAAGAACGACAAATCCAAAATTGGTTATATGCGCAAGTTTATATATTGTATGATATCGATTTCAGTTCCTACCAAACCATAATTCTTAAATAACCGTCAACATGTATAATACCTACCTTTTAGAAGTCAAATACATTAACACGTACGAGCATCAAGACCTTTGAAAGAGCTACTATATAAAATAGCCTACAATTCCTAAATGAGGTTATTGTTAAACGTTCAGTGAATGACAAACAGTCCTCAAAAACAACATACTGGTAATACAAATAACGATTGAGCAACACAAACACAAAAACGGAAATAGGGATGACATTAGGTGCTGGTTCTTAAAACGGGTAAATAGTTCCTGATCTACATGTAACACCCGTCGGGATCCTTATGTCATGAATAAATACGATGATGACTCTCATTCTGTATTACGAAAACACACAATGAAAGGAATGTCGAGTTTACTACAAAAAGTGGAACATCTCTGTTTTTCATTTATTGTTTTATACATTAGGCCGTTGTGCTAATCGTTTGAATTCTTCTAAATTTTGTAATGTCGGGGCATTTTATGGCTTGCAATGCGGTATTGGTTTCGCTCATTGTTGAAGGTCGAATGGTGAACTATATTTGCCTGCTTACATTAACGTTGTGTGGTCTCTCGTTGATAGGTGTCTCATTGGCAATGATACCTTATCTTCTTATTTTCATAAGGTGTATATGTGGCACTTTCATTCGTTAACGGTGAACCTAATCATGCTGGACTCTGTAAAACATTATTGTTTAATAAGAAACTTTGAACAAAATCAATCCCAGGAATGTTTATCAGCTTGAAGACTATATACTCTAATAGCAGCATCTTTTGTTATGTTGCAACATAAAAAAGTTATCAATTTGAAAATGATTGACATAACCTGTTTAATGGATTAAAAACAAGACAAAATTTAGAAAGTTTAGATTGAAGAATATCTCTTTTGATTGGTTTTAGACAATACTTCAGAAATTTGCTGCTTGTCTTTCTTGAGAAGTATGAAGTATCGATTTTTAATGGTAACATTATTTTTAACAATAATTAATTCCTTAAACTTTTATCATGTATATGACCAGCAAAACTGATACAGATTTTTTTAATTATTACAATGGTTTATACAATACTGTTATAAAGAAAACAATATTTGATTAAATAAATTGACTTTATGTTATTCTTGAAGAACCAATAGCCCAAGGAATCCTGATTGTGGATAATTATCATAACTATAAAGATAATGACTTCTTGTCACCCCGGTTGTCCTTATCCAGGCATGATCTCCTTTTTCCATTTTACATAAAGATGTCATAGCTCCAGATGGATGCCCTCCTGAAACGTTACGCTCTCCAGTTCCGATGATTACATTATTTTCCACCACTAGTTCAGTCATAATATAATTACTACTACTACCAGTTACAGTCCAGGCAAAGAGATAAGTTCCTTTCTGAGGTGCTACAAACACTCCGTCAAGGTTGTTGTAATGGTCACCTTCGTTAACGATTGTCGTCTCAAACACTATTATTGTGTCGACGTTATAGGTAAATGCCTTGTTCCTAATGACAGCATAGAACATAACAGGAGCTGTTTTATCTGCAAAGGAAAAAACTTTATACATATATTTTCATTCTGAACGGAAATACTGCAGTATCTTAACTTCAAAACAAATTTGTTACAACTGTTTTTCAGGTAATCGACAGTAATCTGTAATCGTCAAAAGTTTACATTACTCGAAATCGTAATTTAATCGATTACAGCAACCAATATTATGTAATAATCGATAACCTTTCGATTACATTTCAATTACTTTAATGAAATTATATATTATAGAACAAAGTTCAAATGAAAATAGACAACTGCATGTATTTGTCAGTGTATGCTTGCTCTATTTAACATGTACAGATAAAATAGAATATATAAATACATGAAATATGACTTAAAAATAGAAACAGATCTGTTATTCTCTCAAAGCTGCCTTATGATCGTCCAGCTGTCCTGCAACATGTTTTACTGTTTTTAAAACTTTTGATAAGAATAACTATGAATGCTCAACAATTCTTAAAGACTTTTTTTTAAATTAAACATGAAAAAAAGTTAACTTCTGTACTACATTGAAGTGCACTGCTTGACTGTATTTAAATTCATTAAAGCATAATTACAAATAAGAGTTTTGCTTAGAACAAATACAACTTTGATTGATTATAATGTTATAATATAAAGATTAAGATAGGATTAAAAGTCCTTTTTACAATGATCCAACACATTGAAATTACCATTCAGTAACAGGTATATGTATCCCAGTATGACACACACATATATATTGTTTGTAAATTTTTTTACTAAGTATAATTGTTAATAAATAGAGAATTAAGAATATTAACTGCCTGCTTGTCTTTCCTGATCAGATGATCAAAGACTTCTAATCAATGACATATAGACTTTGTTTTGTTTTCATTTAATATTTTTATTTAATTAAGTGTCAGCTTAGTACATTACATTGCCCTAGGTTATAATTTTTTCTTCTTTGATGGTTTGATAATTTTAATTAAGAAGACTATCCTAACTAACAAAAAAAAAAGCTGGACAAATTGTTTTATAATTTTTTTTTATGAGAGAAACCATTGTACTGCATGAGATATAATCAAATATATCCATGATATCTGCAAATAATGAGTAAAAAAAACCAATCTAAAAAACTGATGTCAGTAGGTAAGTATTAGAAAAAATATGGTGACAATCACAGGGGAAAAAAGTGACCAATGCTTTGGTCTATGTCGTTGTAAGACATTAACCATCACTCTCGCATGTTTTTTGAATCCTTGGTAGGAGCATCCACGTCTAGACAAAAATACACACGAAATGTTGATACATATGATCGAGTCCATGCATTGTTAATTGTTTATTTTAGACTTTTTGTAATTTGGATATACGTTTTAGTATTTTATAAATAAATGTGAGAATTTGAGTCAAATCGGTGAACACGAATTTGACAGCTAATTCCCCTTTGAATGATGCTTTTTGTAAAGTTTTAAACTTTCATTGAAAATGAGTTCAACAGTATAATTGTGTTCAAACAAAAAACTCATAAAACAACTTTTTAAAGTTATTTCTTTGAATTTTGTACTAAACAACTCTCGTCAGTTATTTTTTGTTTGTAACATGTAATTGACGGATTAACATTATTCCATTTGATAAAGTAATCGATTGCAATCAATTACACACGAATCCCTCACGTAATCGTTTATTGATCGATTACATTTGATTGTAATCGTGCCCATCCCTAGTTTACATCAATATTAAACAAACTTAATTTCCACAAGGATTTTGTTCCGCTTTATGCAAATTACACCTAAAAATCTAACAACCACACCTTACAACAGAAACATGTCCTGTCAGTTTTAAGAATATAGATTGGAGATAAACAAATATAACAGTTGACATATATTGGTAATAACTAACTTGAATAGAATACATTGGTTTTTTTTTACTTGACCAAATATTAAATTACAGCAGCCTATGTACCATCATTTACAAGTCGCTACTTGTAGCTTTCAGTCCTGATCTAGTTGTTGTTTCCAGAACAAAAGGTAATGTTTTTGCAACATACCTACATGCTCTAATTTAAACTCAGTAATAATCTCAATCTTGATTTAGAATGGTTATGATTTTCAATGATGATATTATAACTTATTTTTTGTCATTTTTTTAAGTATACAGTAAATATTATCTCATTCTTCGTAGAAGCTACATAGCTGTTGTAGCCACATATACTACCCTGTAAAGTTTAAAAGTGATATTCAATACTTCTTTGTGCTTGCAATCTTTAACAACAACATAAAGAAAGAAAAATATCCCAAGCAATAATAGGGATAAATTATATATTGCTTCAACCTTAGCTTACCTGTATTACCATAATACTCACCTTTCTCATATGTATCCTCCAAGGTCTGCAATTCCACTGACAGATTACGGGCAGTTTGTCTCAGAAGTTCTATTTCTTTCTTTGCAGGTATTGGTGAGCTCGGTGTAAAATTTTCTGTGATAAAAAAAACAAGACAATGAGCGATTGACTCTCCTGAGTTGTTAAGACACTTTCGAATAAAAATGGTGGGATTAGTCTAATTTTATGAAAAAAAAGTTCTTCTTTTAAAGCTGCGATATATACATAATATATACCAAAGGAACAATAAAAACTCCTCTGTCGAGAGGAAACCGACAACACCATAGCAAAAAAACTCCCAGAAAAACGACAAAAAGACTAACACAAAGTCTAACATACACTACATACCACAAGTCGAAAATAAAACCGAGAACACTATGGCAAGAAAAAAACAAACGACGAAAAGACATACAGAAATTTACAAAACACTACATAGAAAAGCTATAGACTACCGGTATGTTAAATGAACCCCACCAAAAATCGGGGATGATCTCAGGTGCTCCGGAAGGGTTTGTAACAATATAGAGACAACTATTAACATTTTATAATAACTTAATGTTTGAAAAAAGAGGCGGAAGATACCGAAGGGACAATGAAAACTCTTTAGTCGAGGAAAAACTAACAACACCATTGTGAAACAAGAACGACTAAAGAGACAAACACCAGTCTACAAAAAACTACATAATAAACTAAAGAAAAAGTAACACTAAAAATAAAACAGGGTCGACGGTGATTGCAGGTACCCGGGAGGTTGGGTAGATCCTGCTCAAAATGTGACATCCACCGTGCTATTTAACTTAGACAAGACACGACATATTTTGTTTTAGAGATAACTGTCATATGTTGCCATACACTTTTATCACATAAGGGGCGATCCCATACAATTTGACGTTACAAAAGGAAATCTCTGGCGCAATACAGCTAATTGATTGTTGTTTGAACAACTTAGATATTGTAGAATACGTTTTGCATGGAATAAACATAGTGTTTTATGAATAGACTATGTTTGACAGGACTCCTCTGTTACATTTATACCAATAAGTTTGATTTTCATATTATGTACTTACATACATTATACAGTCAAAAGTTTAAAAAATACCATTTATTGAAAATACGTACAATAACTGATGTATATATAGTAATTAAGTCATACATGCTGTATTATAGCTATTGTATTTTCCATAAATGAACATATGGATGAAATTAACGCGAGATTAATCTAAAGTGAGTTAGAATATGACTGTTACATACAAATATTGGGTTCTTAAACTTTCAATAAATTTTTTTTCGACATGTTATATTAGTTACTAGTATTTTATCTTTACTAAGGAAACACTTCAATTGATCTTTGTTAGATAGTTGTCTCATTGCAATCATACCACATCTCCGTACTTTTTTAAAGTCGAAAACATATTTTTAAAGGTAATTAGGTCTTTAAGATTTAAAAGTACTATTCAGGTGTCTAATATAGATGTACACATTTTGAATAATATTTTTTATCATACAATGGCTTTTGAATTTACACTGCGTTTTCAATATAACACTCACCTGTAATAGACCATCCTTCACTAATGCCATTCTTAAACTCGACTGTTGTAATATCGTTGTCTTTCCTCACAGATATGGAATCTATATAATGTATGCAGATAGACAGCAATATAATTGTGAACATCATTTCTTTTTAAAATTTTTAGAAAATCAAAAATAACCCAACTGCCTAATATATATATATATATTATTGAGAAGGAAGCACTTCAGTAAAAAGATGAAAATATGATATCAAAAGATACACTTGTGGTATCTCAATGGTAAGTGTTTTATTAAAGTATATTTAATACGTCATTAAATGATGCAAACTAGCCAACACATTGGTCTAGGCACTGCAAAAAAACCCCAAAAACTTATTAATTTTAAGTTCAGCACAAGCGCGAAAGAAAATGAGGAAGTAACAAGTCCGACGGATTTGAAATTAGAAATTGGGTATTTGGGGAGCGGCTATTGGAGGTGGTAGGTGGGGCCTATGTATTGTACAATTAGTAATGTAATCCAGAGAACATAACCCATTATGCTTTAATTACATTTTTTTTTATTTGATAAAAGCTAAACGATCGAAGGGTTCACTCAAATGACACACATTAAAACAATTTAAAGAGGTTCATAATGTGAAAAGCAAATACGTAAACTGTATACACATTTTAGGAGAAAGGGAGAGAAGTATTGAATGTGCAAAATTTGTTATAATCGAGTAAAGATAGCTTTCGAGTCTAAGTACTTGTTACGACAAAAGAGATAAGTTGAACTTTCTAATTTGGAACTCTACATTTTTGACGGGTGCCTCTTATATTGAAGAAGAGCTGCTTGCCATTACAGAGTAGTTGAAACCACCGCTGGAGTTGTAATTGTTCAGTATTGAGTTTTCTGAACAGTGTTTTATAGACTGTTGTTTTCTTCGTCGTTTTCTTTTGTCATCGTAATGTCTTTTTTTTCGACTTCTGGTTTATGGTTGTTCCTTTGGTATCTTCTCTGTCTTTTTTCTAATCAACTTATAAAATATTATCAATATAAATATACAACTCACATATATATATATATATCAAAAGTGCCAAAAACAGCATACGATCAATTAACGCCATACACAACCAACCACTTTCACGTAGATGGATGTTACATGTTGATATGGAATCTGATTTATCATTCTCATTTCAAAATACAATTTACATGTATATGTACTTATTGATTTAACATAAGACTAGTAACTCAAAATGATCACTATTAATCTGTACAGTACAATGTGTAAGACCAGCAAAAAGAACAGGTACTGAAATGTGATTTTGTACTGTTATATAATGAACTGTGATGTATGTGGTGTTTTGTTACTATAGCAATAAACATTATTTTGACTGGGTTTAACCTGCGTAGAAGACAGGCGAAAAATACCAAAGCGATATTCAAATTCGAAAACAAACTGACAACGCTATGCCAAAAAAATCTAAAAATATACGAAAAGACAAACAGTACACAAAACACAACAAAGAAAAGTAAAGTTGAGCAACACAAACCCCACCAAAAACCGGAGGGGTAGTTATTTGAATCACAGGTCATAAAACAGGTTTTTACCAGAACACCTTCCATGTTTTCGGTTTACATGACGCTCACCAGGACTTGAATTATATTCATGTATTGCAAAAGTGGCTTTTATATGCCTTACTGCATTGAACTATGCTTGCTGAGTTCTGTTGTTGCGCTATAATATGTTTTTGTAAGATTTATTGGTCTCTTTTAAATCGTGTGATGTAGTGCAAATGTATTTTTCACATTTTTACTTAAAGAACATTTTGATGAGATTAAAGAATATCTCTTTGGGATAGAATAAATAGGAATATGTTTTTATGTTATAAACAGTTCTTAATTGTCCAACATTACACTTCCAAATTGTCCTACATTATCATATTCCCCCAAATACATGTAATAATCTATAGTGGGACAGCCAGAATTACACTGAAATTTTAACCTATGGTTATGCAAGTTACTGTATGTGTATAGAATTCGATAATTTGTTTAAAGATATCTGATAAATGCATGCCAGTATTAAAGACGATTTTTAACGGCAAAACATAATTTGGTGTTATGTGCTTATAAATTATCATTGACTGTAAACATAACATTTCCATTTTGATATGATAATCTTGCCACAAGTTCAAAGACAGAGAGCAAACCAAAAACTGTCGGGGAAAGGTTGACAATCCGACATTATTTTGTCCTTCAATGTTAACAAATAAATTTGAGTTATTCCCCATTTGCCGTGATAACTGTAAATATGAAAATAAGAAGATGTGGTATTATTGCCAATGAGACAACTCTTTACCAGAAACCAAATGACATAGAAGTTAACAGCTATAGGCCACCTTACGGCCTTCGACAATGAGCAAAATTCATACCACATACTAAAGTAGTCAACTATAAAAGGCCCCGAAATGACAAATGTAAAACAATTCAAACAAGAAAGCTAACGGCCTGATTTATATAAAAACAATGAACGAAATACAAATATAATATACAACAACAAACGACAACCACTGAATTACAGACTCCTGACTTAGGACAGGCACATACAGAATGTGGCGGGGTTAAACATGTTAGCCGTCGCCAAACCCTTTCCCTAACATGAAACAGTGGTGTAACAGTACAACATATGAACAAACTATAAGAATCAGTTGAAAAGGGCTTAACTCATCAGATCGATACAAAGCAGAAAAACATGTAATAAAAACACAGACCGGACGTGGTAGGGTATTTATACATCCCTACAACAACAAAAAAAGCGTATATAAAATTCATCAATGACCAATTAGACTTAACAAATACATAGCTCTATCCCTTGATTGCATTGTCGTAGTTCATTGAATTAGTACATACAAACCAGAGTGGTACATGGATAATGAAGCTTTTACTTTTGGTATACTTTCTGATTGATATAAGCAGACAATTCAATAGTTCTGAAAATTGTATCTATAAATTAATTTGTTTCCTCTCCTAAGGCTTTTAAACATTTTAATCTTTGTGAACATTGATCCTTTTGACATATTAAAGCTCTTGTAAAGTTATTTAAATAATTATCAGTTTAAAAATGTCTATATTAGAGTTAAAATAAAAACATCTATATTTAAGTTAAAAAAGAACTCTACATACACTTATGTTGAATACTTAAAAATGTACCTTGACCCACTGAACCAACTGAATGATAAACGACGCAATGAAAAACGCACAGCTAGGTTATTAAAAACAAAGTTCAAATAAACAATAATATCGTTTTAAAAAGCACTTATTCAATGCGCACAGGTACTGGTTCATCTGTCCATCATAAACGATCGGTAACACGGTTGGTATAGTGTCCGACGAAGATCGTGTTTTTTCTAGTGAATCGGTCCACTTTTTTTTTTAGTGTAGATCAGGTTTTTTCGAGTGATATTACATACGATCAGATCAATTTACTGCTATTCGCGTATATAATAGTTTCATTCATCTTATTCTGAATACTAAACATGTTTTAATCGTTTTACTATATCCCTGCAGTATTAAGATTTATTAGAAATAACTGGATTCTTAGTAAAACTGTCTTTAGAACCGAGAACAGGGTACTCATATTTTTTCAATATCATTTCGATCATGCTACAATATTTTTTTTACAGTAAATAAGTTTATCATTTATATATATTACATTGGCGAAATCTGGAGTTTTAAAAATAGGGCTAAGAAAACAAAGGGACAGAAGTTATAAATTCAGTAAAATGCAATATACCAGAAATATTCTACTAAGAGAGGCCTGGGACCAGCGAACCCCCCTCCCCCCTCCCCCCCACCCCCCCCCCCCCCCCCCCAGAAAAATATACTTAATCCACCCCTGTACTATTTTTTATTGGCAAAAACATTGAATTGAATGGAATATATAATAAACACTGACATAAATAATCTATAAGCTTTAATATGGCCCCAGACCACAATTAGTTCCTTGTTATTATAGTGGTTTTTTTTCTTTATTTTTGTTCTCTGCCTTCCTGATTGTTTTCTTAGTTTTTATAGGGTGGAAATGAAAGAAGAGAGTTGAAATAAATTTTAAGATGCATTATTTTAACTATTCAGTAGTGGGAATGAGTGATTAGGACAGTTGCAAAAGGTAACATTTATAGTTTTCTGAACATCTCTTGACTTGTCCATACCAGTATGGGTGTGTTTTATCTAATTTAATGACCTACACAGAAGGGATTTTCCTAAAAGTTGGATATAATGTGAGACTTGTACTATATATTACAGATACCAAACATTTTACAAATTCGCAGGGTTATTTTTCTTTAATGTGAAAAAACGTTATAACGAAATGATAGGAAAATTAATTATGGTCTGTGGCCATATGATCCTTTTGAAATAGTAATAAGAAAAATGTGTATACGATAGCGTACACCTCGTGTATTTGATTCATGTGTTTCGCAGAGTTCCGTAGATATACATTGGTAGTTGTAATGTCTAGATAGAGATCCGTGTTTTTCATGTTTTAAAGCACTGCTAACTGATGGAGAGGAAGCTATCATGGTTTTTATTGTTGTGTGATCAAGTATAACATACGCTTGATCATACTCCTCATCACAGTAGTAGCATTTGAAAATTGTTCTTGTTTTCCATTCATAGAACGATATCATCAAGACAAATAGTAAATGAAACACTTAGGATGTTTTTTCTGTTAAAAAAAATACACATTCCTCGCTTAACACACACAATGTACGTACGTCTCAATTTAACATTGTACTGCTTGATATTTTAGTCTTGGAAAACATGATTTATTAATTAGTTGTAACTGGCTTTGAACTAGCTTTCAGTACCCTTATGTCGATACTTTGTATCTATTGTTTTTATGTTAATTGGTTTGTTTGTGCTTCATACCGATTTATTGAGTAAAGCAATTTGTATTTGGTGTTTACAGTTTGTTCTTATTTTGTGCTGTAACACCACTGTCCAAAGTTAGGGGAGGGATGAGGGCTACAAACATGTTTAACCCCACCACAATCTTTATATGCCTGTCCCAAGAGCCTGTAATTCAGTGGTTGTCGTTGGTTCATGTCCGCCATATTTGTTTTTTCGTACTTTGTATTGTATAACTTAGGTCGTTAGTTTTCTCGTTTAAATTGTTTCAATTGTTTCATGTTGGGGTCTGTTATTTGACT